AGTTAAGGTCTTTGTGTTCCACAATCATAAAATAAAACACGTCAGGAACCTTTCAAATTCAAAATTACAATAAAATTCTTCCATTTTCGCATTCTATTAAGTATTATCATCAGTTTTATGCAATACAAAAATGTGTCTTTTTTTGGAAAATTTAGGACAAAAAAAATTGACCGCTTAAGGGGTTAAGAAACGAAATACTTACATTAATTTCTTTTCAGGAATCTTCTTAAACAAAAGATGCAACTTGGGAGCGATGTCTTTCTCAAGAACTTCTCTATACGTTTCTAAGGCTTCTTCCTGGAAATAAAATACAATCAATTCATTTTGAGAATTTAATATTTTATTTAAGGTATCAGACTACGTTCCGAACCATGATTTTGTCAAAGCGCATAAATAGATAATTTTCATGATATTTAGTCACTTTTTTAGAATACATGTATAAAATTGTTTTAAGGACATTTTGACAAAAAAAAAGTTATTAATATACAATATTTCGGCAAAAAATTAACTTAGAATAACCTTTTTTCAAAATGTTCTCCTTTTATAAAAAATGCTTCTCAATTAATAATATTTTGTGTGTGTGTGCTTATATAAAGTAAAGACTTCTCCAGAGGGTCTGAACTATTTTTTTTTGAAAAATTCACATTACTTTCAGAGTTACAACCCATTGAAATAATTATCGGCGTTTTTTTTCTTAAAATTTCTCCCCTCTGTTGTCGTAAAACATGGATAAACCCACTTCCGAGTTATATATTTCAAAAATTCTAGTTGAGCCTCGGTACAAAGGTCTGAGCCTATATACAGACAAAATATAATAATAACAGAAGCATATAGCAAGGACAATATTTTGAAAATGGGTCATTCTATGTTCATTTTTTGTCAAAATATTATACTTAAATAATTTTTTATTGTAATAATATTCTTAAGACAATTTTATATACATTTTCTAATCTAAGTGACACTAAATACCGTAAATATTATCCATTTATAAGCTTTTGCAAATTCACGGTTCCGAACGTAGTCGGATAACTTAAAGGCGAAAACAATTAAGTACGAAATATTTCAACGACCTATATCAATGGTTCTCGAACCCCTTAAGTGTTAGCAAAATAGCCATGAAAAGAAATGAGGAAATTTACTTTAATGTAAAATCTGCCTTATATCAGACATTTTTTTAAATATTTACATGTCTACCTTGCAAATATAGAGATATGTTCAAGGATTGATAAAAGAAAATAATATGTAGAGAATGTAAATATCTAGTTGGAAAGGTAGGCGTTATTCCTCACTGGTGCTCAAAATCAAGATAATGTACATATTTAGTCGAATTTCTCAAACATTACAAAATGGAAGAAACAAATTATATTTTCAAATATGGGACCAAATTTTTGCTGTCCATCTCGTACACTTATATGTTCGTGTTTTAGTTGAGTATTGAAAAGGAATAAAAAATCGTAAGCTCACATACCAGTTTCCGGACCTCATTCACATTCTGCTTACCTCCGCGTACATTTCAGCTCGGTTAAGGTATCGGACTACGTTCGGAACCGTGATTTTGCAAAAGCGTATAATTGGATAATATTTATGATATTTAGTGTCATTTAGATCAGAAAAAGTATATAAAATTGTTTTAAGAATTACAATAAAAAATGATTTAAGTACAATATTTTGACAAAAAATGAACATAGAATGACCCCTTTTCAAAACATTCTCTTTTTATGAAAAATGTTTCTATTATAATAATATTTTGCCTGTATATAGCTCAGACCTCTTTGCGGAGGCTCAACTAGAATTTTTGAAATATATGATTTAGAAGTGGATTTATTCATATTTTACTACAAATGAGGGGAGAAATTTTAAGAAAAAAACGCCGATAATTATTTCCATTGGTGGTACATCTGAAAATAATGTGAATTTTTCAAAAACCCTAGTTCAGACTCTCTGGAGAAATTTTTACTTTATATAAGCACACACACAAAATGTTATTATTTGAGAAGCATTTTTTATAAAAGAAGAAATTTTTGAAAAAAAACTTATTTTAATTTAGTTTTTTGCCAAAATATTGCATTTAAAAAACTTTTTTTTGTCAAAATGTCCTTAAAACAATTTTATACATGTATTCTAATCTAAGTGACACTAAATATCATGAAATTTATCCATTTATGCGCTTTTTCAAAATCACGGTTCCGAACGTAGTCGGATACCTTAATATGGCTGAGTAAACATTGCAGAAGAGACCAGAATAAAAGACTGTTCCACACACTAATAATTCAAGATTTAGCTTAGCTACTAATTTTAGTCATACCTTGCCTTGGAGAGAAACAGGAACCCATTACATGCTCTCAAACATCCCAAAAGGACAGAGTATGACTGTGGAGGTTGCGTGGTCTCGGCAAGCATAAAGCTGTAAAGGTGAAAAGACATTTTTGTCTTCGGCAGAGGCTGTGTGACTGCTGTAAGGTATAGGAACTCACATAGTTGTCTTTCCGCGAGTGTAGTTGGCACTGATTTTATTTTCCATGAATGATAGCTCTGTTCTGGTTTATTGGAAACCTCAAATTCTGGAAGTTTTCATTCGTGGACGAATTGGCCATCCAGTAGTTTGAATCTTAACGTAAAAGAATATAAGTTGGATGACTAGAGGAGCCTTATCCTCCCAGAATCATTTAGTATCTCAGATGAAATATTTTTCGAGGATTGTGCAGGGCTGCCATATTGACTGACGCAAATTTTATCCTATTTTTAGTACAAGTTTACGCTGTGAAAGCTGTCCATACTTCCTATTGGCTAATTATTTTTGTTTCGTCTTGTAAACACCCTTTTAGACATTCCTGCGCTGATGAATGGCTATCGAAGTGTACAATAATTATTGTATTTTTTGTTGTTACTTTGTTTTCCCTTATGTACATACCTAATTTCCTTAAAAAATCTGTCAAACACTTCTGGACAAATATTGCAACCTAAAGGGAAAATACTCTTAAGTTTGAACATTAATGTAGAAAGAGAATTTTGAACAAGAGGTAGTAATAACATAAAATGGCGAGTCAATTTATTGAGCATTCATTAGAAAGTTGACGCATCACTCTTCAATTTTCCAGTGGAATTAAATTTCAACAGGTTAAAAAATTGCTTTTTCAATAAAATTTTTTCCAATGGAGTAGCTTATATATAAGAGATGTTAAGCTAATTTGTATGTATATATTTATAAGATTCCGATAGTAACCGCAGCAAAAAGCTTGAAACACATAATAATTCCTTTTTAAAAATCATTCGTGACATAGAGGGAAATCAGGAAAAATATTAAGATTTTTGGTACTTTTTAGTCAAAGAAAACATTAAACTTAAGAACACATCTTTCAAGAGATACATAAAAGAGAAAGAAAAAAATATTCATGAGTAGATGGGCAGATTGTTTGTGCTATAGTTACTTTGCAGAGGGCTAGGCAAGAAATAATTAACTATAACAAGGTAAAAAATATTACAAATTACATATAATAAATTATAATAAGGAATTATATAACTTACCTCTGTTTTAAAAAACTGAGATTCGTCGTTACGAATCATGTTGCTGAATTCTTGATGAGTCATACTCAGATTTAATGATTTTATCACCTGTACAGAAAAAAAAATAATAAATTAAAATGATGACTTATTGCAATATTTAATAACCATAAATCTTGTTTTCATATTCATCTATTTTCAGATATGGTGTATTATTTCATCTCTTCATAATATTTATTTATTTAATTGAAATAAAATTTTGCTTCGACTTTTTTTATTTCATTAAGGCACGTTTAAAAGAATGTCAATGTACGGTTTTCTTCTCACAAGGAGAGGGCACGACTAAGGAAATTCATTTCGGGTCGAGACTTGGTGTAATAGTAGTACTCCTTTAGGGTGTTCAACCCTTAATGTAATTCCGTCGAATGGCCAGTCAATTCGGAGAAAAAAGCCTTCGAAATTCATGCTGAGATTTTATACAATTAAGTTTCAATTTTCTCCACTGGCCCAGTGGCTGAATTGGTAAATCGTTTGCCTTCGGTGCGGGTGGATCCAAGTTCGAATCACGCGAGAAACTTTTTCTTTCAATTCCTTTAATTATTTTTGAAAATTAAATAGATTTATTTATGAAAGGTTTATTAAATAATAAATGAATTGCGCATTAATAATAAATAATAAATGAAGAATTAAATAATAAATAAAATGGCGCAATTATTTTGCCTTTTATAAAGTAAAAGAATTACTGTAATTATATAAATATGTATATAATGTTAAATAAATATATTTTTATATAAATGAATAATATTTATAATAAAATATGTAAAAAGTATTAAATGATATTTTACATAAAAATTGTTTACAAATAGTTTTATAATGTGAAATACAATATACTATAAATGAAATATTATATATATAATATAAAATAATTTATAAAATATATTATTATTATTAAATTAATTATTTTATAATTATATGAAATATTTAATAAGTTCTTTTTAAAAAAAATTATTTAAACAATTTTAATAAATATATTTAAATAATTTTAATTAATAATAATGAATTATTTTAATTAATAATAAAGAAATATTTTAATTAATATTAATTACATATTTTAATTAATATTAGTTCTGAATAATTTTAATGAATAATGAATGTATTTATGGAGAATTTTAACTAATAATAATTAATTATTTTTAATTAATATCATTTTTAATGAATAATTAATTTTAATAAATGTATTTAAATAATTTTAATTAATAATTACTTATGCTTAATTAATATTAAATAATTTTAATAAATATATCATTTTAATTAAAAATATTTTTAAATAATTTTATTTAATGATTAATTATGAATAATTTTAAACAATAAATTTATTTATTTTTTACTTTATAAAATGCAAAATATAATTGCGTAGAATATCATTTATTGTTTAATAAACCTTTCATAAATAAATCTATTTAATTTTCAAAAATAATTATAAAGGAATTGAAAGAAAAAGTTTCTCGCATGATTCGAACTTGGATCCACCCGCACCGAAGGCAGACGATTTACCAATTCAGCCACTGGAGTAAATTGGAGCTTACGTGTATAAAAGCTCAGGATGAATTTCGAATGCTTTTTTTCCCCGAATTGACTGGCCATTCGACGAAGGGTTGAACACCCTAAAGGAGCCACCAAATATCTACACGAAATGAATTTCCTTAGTCGTGCCCTCTCCTTGTAAGAGAGAATGATGGTGTAGTCTATCCTTCAAGTTTAAAAACCCCCGAAAGGGTTTCCAAAAATTGCCTCGGCCGACGGTATTTCACGTCGACAGGGCGGGGTATTGGGAAAAGTTTTCAACTAGCAATAGTCACGCCTCGGTAGAACCTCATTGGCTATGACACTGCCGCTGCGCAAAGTTAATGAGGGAGTAGTTCTCAAATATATAATCAACTGTTTCTATTTAATTTAGTGGTACAGTTTTAACATTTGATAAATTTTACACAATATTTGTAAAATGTGTTTTCTTCTGTTCTTGTCGCTCTTTTTAATAAATTGAAAAAAAAAATTTTGTTCTTTATTTTTACTATAATTTTCTTAATATGAACAATAGTTGCAACGTTATTAAGAAAAATATAATAGGCTTGACATTGGATGCTTCATTTGATAGAAGAATTAAGAGCCTTTTTTTACACATACGGCATATTTCCGCTTTCTATGAAGATGCACATTACAGCCAAGCTTTTTATTTCGTCATGTGTGTGTGTGTGTGTGTGTGCTATCTAGAAATATATTTTAAAGAAATCATTTTAACATAAACAAATATTTTGTTTGCGTAATTGGTGTTATGCATACATCTTCTCAAAGCAGTTAGATTTTGTGTGTTTATCTTTTATTAAACGTTACTAAGAAATTTTGTAAATCTATAGACTCCAGGATTAGGAAAGACATTTCTCTTCCGATAACGTTGCATAATTTTCCATTATAAGCAGTATATTAATTCAAATAGGTTTTATTTTGTACTCTTGGGAGGCGTTCGACCTGTAACGGTGCTGGGAATCGCTATGAAGAGAGAATGTTTCTTAAAAACATCACTTGAACATTTTGCCTAGGCCAGCCTAAATATGTATATAATATATCATGTGAGCGCATTATGAGTAAATATAATAAAAATGACGTTTTTCACATAATTGATGTGAACTGAAAACGTAATATTACTCTTGAAATTTTTAGGGAAAAAAAATTTGCTCGGGTGGTTATTTAGTCTTTGGAGCTCAACCCTTATACCGTATGCATTACTTAACTTCAAATGATTTCTAATGTTAGGAGACAATAATTATTACTTTTTAGAAAAATATTGGTTGATAAAAATCACAATAAATTTTTTATTATCTTATCTTTCTATGAAATTTATTAATGAATGAAATTCAAAATAAGAGGAATAGCTCTAACGTCCTTTTTGTAAAACTGGAATAAAAATATCGGATGGAGGTATTAGAAAAAATATATTAATTTTATGTGATTTCAGACCTTAATTACATATATACATGCAATATGTTGAATTTCATTACTCTTAAGTAATAAATAGTGAGAGCAATATATGTGCATGGCAGAGAGAGACAGAGATAAAACATTTATATAATTAATTCATCAGTCTCTTGTTGAATATCATTTTTTCCCCCTTTCTCATGGGGCCGTGCATTGGTAATTACCATTGCAGACCTAGCACATTCCCCGGGAGTTGGTGTCACTTTTTTTGTGAGGCACCATATAAGTGGACACCAATTGCCACAATATAATTTTGACACTCACTTTCCTAACCAGAGGGAGACATCTGATCTCTGACGATGCGAAATTAATTACGAATTTAATTTTGCCGTAAGCACCCAAGCACTTTAAAGAATTTTTTTGATTTTATCCATATTTACACTTACACTGCAGGTTCCAAGTCAATGAATTATGTTTGGGTCCTACTTCAAAGGTCTGTCGCTCGACGCCTTTGAGTTTCATCATTCAAATTCTGTTTTCACCCCTGAGACATGAGTGATAGAACGTATCTCGAGTGGAAACAATGAAAACGTTCGGCCTTTTTCGGTTAGAGCAATGGTCCTCAAATCCTGGGCCGCAGACTGGTAGCGGTCCGTGGATTAAATAGTATCGGGCCACCTAAGGATCATTAAATTATTTCCATTTTATTTTCTGAGGTATATTTCTTTCGGGTTTGTGTTACTTTCCTTGAAAATCACTTTTCATTTTAAGTTAAATCATTTTATATTCATTTTTTTGGTGTAACTGTATTTTAAATGAAAACTTCGTTCTGCATCAAATTCACTGCCAGATATGGGATTGGGGACCGCATGCGGCCCATATGCCCAAACAATAGACCGAAAGACCGGAAACTGTAATTTATTCTGAAGGCATATTCAAATATAATTAAGTTAAAGTTATTAAACCAAAAAATTCTAAAATATAAGCAATCAACGTCCTCCGCTCATCCCTCCTTATCGGGCCGTGGTAAGATTATGAAACGTTCATTCTTCCGCGGCGATAAAAAGGTTGGGAAGCACTGAGTGAGAGAGACCCAAGCTAGTGACTGATTTTCCTATCGTTACCCAAACGAACATTGACGACATTATCGGATACCATAAATTCTTGGTTGATTTGTCGAATCAGCCGCTTCTCGCGCCGTGTTTTCTCGCCAAATCGATAAATGCGCTAAATCTGGTAACCATTCTGAATTTGTTCTCCAGTGAAGGAGTTTTTGACAAAATGCGCCACAAATACGTGATTTTTCTAAATTTGGCGGAGAAGCGGCCGATTCGACAATTTCACCAAATTCTTTTCAAACGCAATGGTCAAGTTTTTAATTTTAAGGGTTTTATTAATTTAACATATTTATAATTATTACTGGCATAAGCCAAAATTTGGTGTTTTCCACGACTGGCACAATCTGTAGCGCCATCTATTTATATCATTATGTCGATATTTTAAA